TTTCTTGACATTTTGTACATGACCAATTTTCATCATAAAATAACGGAAAATTAATATTTTTAGGTATTTTCAACCTTTTTTTTTGGTCCATTATAAATGGTATTCGTTGTATAAGTTCTTTTATAGTTGTTTCCGTTTCAGATATTGATCTATTATACAAATAAACAATTAATTTTTGATTATTTTCAATTGACATAGTATGACTAAAATTAGATGATTGAAATAGTTTAATACAATCATTCCAATCAAATGTTTTAATACCCATAGTTCTAAGTTCACTGCTTGGTTGAACAAATGGATGTAAAGCAAGAGAACTTGTTTTAGGAGAATTTTCTAAAATAAATGTTCGAATAGCATCATGACCAACAAATGTTTGTTGAGATAATGCTGTTAAATCAATAATAGCTTCATTCATTTTTAATAAATCTGAATCTTGTCGATTATTAAGAATAAATTTTATTTCTCTAATTCCTTTATTACAACTTTCATTATATTTTTTAGCTAATAAATCATTTGTTAATTCTAATTTTGTTGGTATTAAAATATAGGCTTGATGACACCATACACTTTTTTCTAATTCACCTATCCATTTAAATATTTCAATGGGTATTTGTTCAAATAACCATTGATTCCAAACTGAATCAATATGAAGTTGTTCACGACTTGTATTTGTTAAAAAATTTGCATTAACAAGTAAAGAAAATTTATATTGACTTATTTTTGTTGGTATATAAGAATAAAGAACATTTTCAAATCGATTTAATTTTATAATATTATTTTCATTAAATTTTGCAGCAAAAAATATTTCAGCTATTTGAGATGATTTTAATTTTTCAGGTATTTTTAAATCATTTTTTAAATCTTGATATACATTATTTGGTATATTTATTTCTAATTGTTTAATAATCCACTTTGATTGAATTTGACCATTAACAAATAATTTTCGTGTAAAATTATTTAAATTTTTTTCTATAGTTAATGTATGATGACTAGAATTATGTAAACAAAATTGTATTTCAATAATATTTCTTAGAAATAATAACATATGTGTTTGATGTTGAAGTTGTATTATTCCTTGTTCTGTTTCTAAAATATTTTTGAGACGCATAATTGTTGCTACTCTACATGAATGTTGTTGTTTTTTAATAAAATTTTGTATATTTAATGGTACATCATCTATTTCAGTCCAAATAGGAATAATTTGCCATGGATAAATAAATGAACGTTCATTATCTTTTATCCATGTATCTTGATCAATTTTCCATTTATCTTTATCCCATAAAAAATGATATGATGAATCAAATCGAAAATATTCACCATTACTATAAATTAAAACATAATCGGATTTACCAAAGACGGCTTTAAATCCAATACCTTTATAGCCTGTTTTATGAGTTTCGGATCTTTTTGTTCCACGATTAATAGAACATATGGCCGTTAAATTTTTAGCATTAAATGGAATTCCATTATGAGCTACAATTAAATAACCATCTATAAGGGCTATTATAACTTTTGTAGGATTATTTAAATCATTGGATGATGCATCATCAGCATTTTGTAATAATTCATAGACAAATCGTACAGAATCTGTATAAAGATCATTAGATAATGAATTCAATGATTCGGCAATATCAACTGCTTGTTCAGGATATAAATAAGTGGATTTTTCAATAAATAATTGATTTACCTTTGTTTTTAAACTCATTTCTGTGCTCAAATATTTTCTCTTTACTTATAAATAAAATTCGTATACATCTAAAATGGAATAGAGACAAAAAAATTAAAATAAAAAAAATGTATTAGAGTTGTAGGCTTCTTATTATACTCAGTTAGGCTTCAGAATTCTTGAATGCTCATTTGAAAATCACACCTATAAATGTCTACAACACGTAGTCAAACGATCATCAAGCGTTTTCTACTGACCATCCGAAAGGGCACATATTTTACTCTTATTTCTCCTAAATGGGATAAGCTACCTTCTGAAATTAAGCCCAACAATTCTTTTTCAAATTTTCAAATAGAATTTTAATCATTAAATTCTATTTGTCTTATTGTCATTCGATATTATATTGATGATACTTATTGCTGACTACTTTTATCAAGCGCTCAAATCGCTTTAATCTTAACAAATCCAAAAATACTGTCAATTACACCAGGTAATAGAGCAAACAGTTCTGATCAAAATGAGATATACTCCAGCTCAGAATGATGTTCTAATCAAGAGTTATGAGAGTTTTTTTGGAAGCCCTAAAATGTGCATCAGATACTGCCCTAGCGGAAGTACTCATACTATGAGTACGACTTTGCTCATAATTCATCCATGAGTACTCATATGAGTTCTACTAATAACTGTTGAGCATTTTTACTCAGTGAGTACTCAGAAAATATTCATTCACCATTTTGTTTTGCAAAAATGAAATTGTATAAAGAACCTAGAATTTAGCACAGAACCATCGAATATTTATATGATATTTTTCTCGCTGGTCTCTCTGTATATAGGAGAGAAACGTAACTTTCTAGTACAATCACTTGTGTAGATATGTTTCTATAATAACTCAGGTTACAAGAGCCTCGCTTGAGCAAATTTTTTCCTGTGCTTTGTCTAGTACTTTGCCCACTTCCACAAAAATTTTCTACTCGATACGTCCTTTCGTTGCAAAGTTATGAGACTCGAAAGTTGAAAAAACTTAATTTTCTGATGACTCATCATTTGAAAACTGAATTTTTGATTATATAAAAAGATATAAAAAGAAAAGGAAAGCAGCGCATCCTGTAGAGAATTGAATTGTGAATCTAACCATATGATTAGTGTTCAACTTTGTTTACTTTTTTTTGTTCTTCTTTAGATATAATCATTTTACAAGCATCCTTTCCGTTTTTTGTAGACCGACCTTCTCTTACAGTTTTCCTCAAAAGTCCACCACTGAAGAAATTTTTGGAGTGGCTAAATTGTAGATATCGCTTCATATCGTATCTCATTCATATCACTTTCTGTTCCGATAGTAGGCGCTGGATAATAATATCCCAATTTATATATAATTATAAGTCTTCCTTCTATAGATCGTTATCTCAGAAACTGCTCATTCTTCGATCGATTACAGTAGTCTGCGAGTTTACACGTCTTTTGTACATACGCGCGCTCGAGAACTGGGAAAAATTCCGAAGTTCTTTGTACTTTGTTTCTACTCATAGAATAACTTAAGAGAAAGAAACATCTTCCAGGATGGGAAGAATTGGTGTGTTTTAGAGTTGTTTGAAACGCATTGTTTTTGAGAATGTCTATCTCGAATGCATGAACATATGTTACAGTCGTAATTCAAATTCATTTAAATCTAAAATTTGTATTGTTAGAAAGGTATAATTAATTATCTGAGCACCAAAAAATTCGTAGTCTGATTTTGAACTCATTTTTTCTGATTTTCATCTTTTGGATCTGGGATCCCTGAATGCGTACGCAACAATACCCAAGCATGAGTACTCAAAGTCGTCCTCACAGTACTCATTACTCACTCATGAGTACTCATGTGAGTACTAAATGAGTACCAAAAATGTATGAGTACGTGTGAATACTCGTCCAGTTTTTCCAGCAGGGTACTTTTTGTGTACTCACGCATGAGTTCATTTACTAGGGTGACGCCACCATATCTCGACAGCGACTTTCACCGTAACACCATTTCATAGCTACAAGATTTCTCGGTAACGAAACATCACAAAGAGCTCGGGAAAGTCTTAAATTGAAGCTGACACATGTGACCAGAGACGAATAGTGGTCGATTTTTGGTATTCGGTCTAGATTTGTGGTTAGAAAAATATCTTTATGCAAGTTAATGACACTTTTTCGAATGGATTTTTGATGCTGACAATTTAATTTGAAAACTGAAATATCAAAACTCCCGCTCTATTATCCTCTAGTCACATGTATTTTCGTCAACTTAAGATCAGCCCGAGCTCTCCACAACGTTTCGTTACTGAGAAATCTTGCAGCTATGAATAGACCCATTTTAGCCACTGTTGTGGCGACATCTCACAGACCATGTGCGATGGAGTCAAACAAAAAATTTCGTCACCATATTTTCACATAATCAGCATCTCTTAAAGGTTCGGCCAAGATCGAACTTATACTTTCAAAAATAGATTTCTGACGGGAGGGAGGGGTTGGCCTGAAATGATTCGTCACTTGCTTAATCGAAACTTTTATCTATAAAACAAAAATTTTTCTTTTTTCTCTTTTCCTTCATAACTGATGTTCGCACGTGTGAGTACTATAATAAACGTTATTACGCTCGGTTGTGTGAAGTAATTTTAAAATTATCTTATTGAGATCTTATTTTTTAAGATATCCGTAAGAGAATCTAAGATCCTAATTAAGATCTGAATAAGATTAGATGACTCAAAAATGCTTAAAACTTACCTATATTTGATACCGTATCAAATGACACAAAAATAAAATCTACTCATACTTTTCATTCAGCCTTTTATTTTGCTCTGATGTATCTATCTCCCTGGCCAAAATAAGTAGCACACCTAATTTATTTAATTTTTCCTCTTCATATATTGAGAGCTAGCACCACATGTGCTTCATAGTACTATTCATCTAAACATCATATCATCACCCATGAGTTGCAATAGTTTGTTGAAAAATGTACGGACGTGTCTCCTGCAGCGGCGTATCCAGGGGGGGGGAGCAAATGGGCAATTGCCCATTTCATTTGGAGGTTTGCCGATTGTAATTTTTATTAGTGAGTTTTTGCCCACTGAAATTTTACTTAGCAGATATACCCATGCGGTTTTTTTTTGTATAACCCTTAGAAAGATATATGTAAGAGTGCCTATAGACAGAATTGTTTGTTTATTTTTGAATTAGAAAAGAATCTCATTTCATTTTTTTGTGTTCTTTTTGGGCCAAAAATCTTTTGGCCCATCGACAAAGACCTTGCCCATTTTGCCCATCGTTTTTTTCCGATACCGCAGAAGTTTGCCCATTGGACTAAAAATCCTGGTTGCGCCGCTGGTCTCGTGTACGCTTGTATGACTGTAACAGAAATTTATTCGTATATTTATCTCACTAAAGTTTCTCGTTGTTTTTGTGTTATGTGATTGCATCGAATGATTCACCCAGTCCGATACTGATTCTATAGCATATCACATCATCCCAAGGATACAAGAGACAAGCAAGGCAAAAAATTCTTGCTGCAGGCATACAAAGATATATTAAACGTATTCGACTATTGTTAAACAAATTAGCACACCCAATCGCTGCGACATTGATATTTAGACAAGGGGGAAAAGGCGAATTTTTCTTTCTTAGCATCGTGTAGCATTGCATAGCATCGGGGAGTATGCGATGCCAAGGATCGAAAGCTCCCGGAGCCGCCTTTTCCCCCTAGTATTTAGATGAGTAGTGCTACGAACTACATGTGTAGAAAACTGAGATCCAACTGTCATTGTACGGAAAATAAGTTGAATAAATTATGTGTACCACTTATTTTGACCAGAGTGATGTATAAATAACACTGAACATATAATTAAATATCAACAAATAACATTGGCATCTTTCTTCCAGACTTTGCTTGTACTAACTGTCTCTCTTAGACAAAGTAACCTATATCTTAGTACGATCTTGACAATATCTTATCATATCTTAAAATTTTCAGATATCATGGTTTTTGTAAGATTTGACTAATATCTTACACAAATGTAAGTAAAAACCTCAATAAGATCTGAACGAAATTTTTTTCTAAGATCTTATTAAGATTAGACTAAATTTCTCACTAGGGATAGATGAAAAATGGTAAAAATAAATAAATCATATTACCTACATCTATTTCTATTTTATTTGAAGTTGTTCATTTATGTCCGAAGTGGACTTTGTACTTATGAGAGCGTACTCCACTAGGCTCTCACTTCAATTTTGATAGAAATTGACGTCATTTTTGTCACACATATTGTTATGTTGGTTTTTTCCCTTTTTTTCTTTTCTTCTTTTTCTTTTCTAGACTTTTATTCAACAGTCAACGCAACATGTAGTACTTAGTTTACTAACCAAGTGTTTTACATTGACGAAGAATAAAATATAAATCTTGTCATGATCGTTTTCGTACAAAAGAAATTTTAAAACATTTGTTGAAGAACAAAAACAAAACACTCATCGAACTGATGTTAGAAACAATAAATGAAAAGACACTTCTTTATGGCTTCTATTTTGTATAAAGTTCATTGCCGTACATAGCAGAAATATATAAACAAATAAAACTAAAAACTTTCTCTTCAGAAGTACATGAGAGTTTGTTCTGTTTTAAAACCAATCGGGATTGTCCCACATGTTGGGTTGACTGTTGAATAAAAGTCTAGAAAAGAAAAAGAAGAAAAGAAAAAAAGGGAAAAAACCAACATAACAATATGTGTGACAAAAATGACGTTAGTTTCAATTAAACATGAAGTAAGAGCCTAGTGGAATACGCTCTTATAAGTACAAAGTCCACTTCGGACATAAATGAACAACTTCAAATGGATCTAAGGAGAAAAAAAACGAAAAATGTCAAGAATGTTATTTAATTCAGGGTATCTGATAGTGTGCGAGAAATGCAGTGATAGTAAAGCAAGGTTTAAATTTTCTCTTTTTTCTTTATGTTAAAGTATTGCATTGAGCTCGATCGATTGTACTGAATCTGCAGAGCTCTGTATGTGCAGAGAGAAGAAATTCCC